AACGTGTCCAACATAGGAATATTAAAGACCTTAAACTGGCCTTCAGCGAGTTCTACCTCAGTCTTATCCTGCTGCAGAACTATCAGGTACTTCAGTTTTTACCCTGGAGAATGGAATCTTCAAATAATTGAGAAATTTGGAATTAACCTTGAACTATACTAATGGGCCAATCCAAAAAGGGAAATCTTTAGCATGTCATTATTTTTTAGGTTCTTAATGTGATTTCAGTTGTTCTAATTGGCTAAAAACCACATATCAAAGGTAGCAAAATAGTGTAACAAGGTTTCTATTTTGGGGGCACCTGGGTGGCTTAGTTAACTGTCTGACTTCGGCTCAGATCATGATCTCATGATTCGTGCTTTTGAGCCTCACATCATGCTCTGTGCTGACAGCTCGGAGCCTGGAACCTGCTTCAGATTCTGTCTCCCTCTCTCTCTGCCCTCCCCCGCTCCCACTCTGCTCTGCTCTCTCTCTCTCTCTTTCTCAAAAATAAACATCAAAAAAATTTGTGAAAAGATTTCTGTTTTTGAAGATCAGTTTTTGAAAACTTTTTGTACAACATTCACTATATTCACTCACAGTTTGCTTCCTAATGGTTTGCTTCCTGTTTTTAGAGGCATCTGTGGTAGTGGTGAATAGAAATAAGGAATTGTATATGTTTACCCAACCACCGCTGGCTATGTAAGAGCTTTATATTCCTCCAAACCTATAGCAAAATTTCCACAAAGGCAATTAGACAGTTAACTTTCCTGAAACTAACACTAATAATATTATAAAAGATACTGACTTTTCAATTTACAACTAACAATCCTTCCAATTTTATTATCCGCAGACTGCAATATGACTCTGTGATAAAAAAATCTTTATGGAATTACTGAATCACTATATTGTACACCTGAGACTAATGTAACACTGTGTATTAACTACATTAGAATTAAAATAAAGGTTTTTTTTTTTAAGTAGAAAAGAATTCTTGTGAGAGAAAAGAAATTAGGTCACAGCAAATATATATAGAGACTGAATATCTATGCAATTAGGATATATGACTATTTTTAAAATCCAATCTGTAAAGCCTTACTACCATGTACGTTAAATTATGGAAATTGAAGGCATTTATTAATTTCTAATTCTTTACAGATTTGTTTACATAGTTGACTCTATAACAAATTTATAGAAGAACAGATGATTTGTTCAATAATAAACATTTCAGTAGGCAAAGCTTCTCTAATCTCTAAATTTAGTGACTTTGCGTACTATTCTTTTTCCATTTTATTGTGATTAGTACTGATAATCTGTGGTTACAATCATCACAGGATGAAAACTCAAGATTATACAACAAAAGTATTCTAGGGGTAAATTGGGAGTTTTAAAATAAGAAGACATTATAGTCTCATATCTGCAGTATTCTAAGCTGTTAATGCATGTACTTATTTCCATCTCTTTCATAATTCTGTGTTCTTCTTTGATAATTTAATATTTTATCATTCAAAGAAGAATAGTAAAGCATATCATGAGAAATTATTTTCCTTTGAAATTTATCTATAGCATTATAATTTATATTTAAAAAGAAACAAAAATGTATTCTTTCTTATAATGCTGTAAAACATTAACGTTTCATATTTCATTGATTTTGCTTCTGTGTTACAGGGAAATACCCCTCTTAAATTTTGTTTTATTAACTTTCCCAGCAGCTTTTGTGTGGGGTCATTATAAAAAGCTCCCTGGGGGGCCTGGATGGCTCAGCTGGTTAAGCTCAGGTCATAAACTCATGGTTTGTGAGTTTGAGCCCCACATTGGGCTCTGTGCGGACAGCCCAGAGTCTGGAGCCTACTTTGGATTCTGTGTCTCCCTATCTCTCTGTGCCCTCCCCCACTCATGCTCCCTCATTCTCTCTCTCTCTCCCCCCCCCTCTCTATCAAAAACAAACATTAAAAAAAAAGTTTGGGAAAACAAAAATAATCATTAATTATAAAAGTTCTGATCCATTCTCTGTTCTTTGAGGCTGGCTATTCTGTAAGAATATATTTATATTGAGAGTGAGGAGAAAGGAAAATTGAAAGCAGTCTTTAATTCATGGTGTATGCACCCCAAGGAAAGTTTAAGATGATTTATTAAAGTATGAGAAAAAAAATTATATACAAACTAGGAAGCATGCAAAGTCTAATTTGGAGTCAGTATTCAATTTTTTTACTGATAGGACTATGTGATCAACAAATTTGGAAGCCTCTGGTTTAAAGAACCGTGAAAAGCCGGTTTCTTGCTTTTTCTTGCACGTTGATCAAAAAAACAGCAATTTGAGAATGTAGAAAAGTATACTATTTTGATATTGTGGAAATGGAGAAAGAGTGCAAGCTCTCACCCACCATCAGTGAAACCCTATGTATGTGATCACTTCTACTGACTCTCTTCACACTCCCATCCCCAAACTGAGAATTGATGGAAGTAAAATGAAAGTTAAAAGAAATAGATGATTTTCCATTTTTCCATGCTGGTTCATAAATGGTTGCACATTAGAGGTAAAATACATAGCTATGCCAGTCCTTCAGAAAACAAAACTAAGAAATGTAGTCAATGTATGATAAATCCAAACATTTTTCTGACAGTCTTCTTTTGATCATGAAGCAAAATAATACGAACTAGCCTTTTTGAGAATATTGTACATAAGAAAATGGAAATAAAGATGTTTTGAGTTTAAGACTTTTATTAATTTACTTGAAATAGAAATATTAGGATTCATAGTTCAGGATTTCTTTTATTACTGATGGTATACTACCTTGAAATAAACAGATGGAATAAGAAAGAAGAGTCTTATCTTTTTAGTAGTAAATGCTTGTATGAAAGCATTGCCATTTCTCTCAGTACTCAGTCCTCAATCAGCTCATCAATGCATAGTGCTTATTGTTTTCCTTCTTTTATGGTGGTGGAAATTACGGTAGTGTTTCTCATTTCTTTCTGTAGAATCTGAATTTTACAGGGTTTCGAAAAATCCTCAAAAAGCATGACAAGATCCTGGAAACGTCTCGTGGAGCAGATTGGCGAGTGGCTCATGTAGAAGTGGCGCCTTTTTATACGTGCAAGAAAATCAACCAGCTCATCTCTGAAACTGAGGTATAGTAATTTCATTTGTGTGCCACACATTTTCAATAAAATTAATGTCTTATTTTTAATGAAATAATTCCTCATCTCTGTTCCCTTTTTGTAATTACTTGCTGGCTTTGAATATAATAATCTTACTCATGATTTTTTTGTTTTGCTTTTTATTCAGTATATAGTCACCAAGAGGTTATCAGGATACCATATGTATAAATGGTTCAGAATTATTTATGTATTACTCAAGGTTAGTATAACCTGTGTCAAAATTTAATGTGTCTTTCTAGGCTGTAGTGACTAATGAACTTGAAGATGGTGACAGACAAAAAGCTATGAAGCGTTTACGTGTTCCCCCTTTGGGAGCTGCTCAGGTTCGTATTTTCTTCCAGTTGTCTGGTCAGTTGGTTTTGTCTGTTTAGTAATGAACATAATCTGTTTAGCTGGTAAAATTCTAGTTTCGTTACTTAAAAAAATATATGTCAGCCAAAGTTTAAAAGTAGTTATTACTATTATTTCATTTTTAAAATATTAAATGCCACATCTCACTTCATGATGAATTATAATGTCTTCTCACCTTTCTCTTCTTATTCTGTACTCCTTCTCTTGTTTATTTTTATTGACATCCTAACTTCTGGGTCTCCTTAAACGATTAAGATGAGGTTTTTATTTCGTGATATGTGGTGGAGGATTCAGGTATGCTTGGGTATTGCATATCTTCATCCAAAATGCCAAGGTTCTAAAAAAATTTCTAAAAAAAAATTATTAAATGATGTCTACACAGTAGTTATACCAAAACATTGAAATGATATATTCTGTGTCATAAAACCAGTTTCAATAAACTTAAAAGGATTTAAGTCATAGAGTATATGTTCTCTGACCACAGTGGAATGGAAATCCATAACAAAAAAAGCTTCCTTATCCTAATAAAAGGCAAAAACCTACAACTAATATTATACTTAATGATGAAACACTATATGCCTTCTCCCTAACTAGGGACAAAAAAGGAGATTCAACGTAACCACTTTTATTCAAAATTGTACTAGAGATTCTAGCCAGTGCAGGAGGGTAGGAAAAAGAAATAAAAGGCATTCAGATTTAAACAAAGAACTAAAACTGGTGGGGTTTTTGCTGATGACATGATAACCTGTGTAGAAAAATGCAGTGAATTATTAGAATAGCTACTAGAACTAATAAGTGAGTTTAGCATGGTTGCAGAATATTAGATGAACATATAAAATAAATTGCATATATTTGTGTTTGTGTATATATATATATATACATATATAAAATCAAGAATAATTAGAAATCAAATTTTTAAATGCTGTTTATAATTAAAATAGAAATATATAGGGATAAATCTGACACAAGATGTACAGCATCTTTACATTGAAAACTAAAACATTGCTAAGAGAAATAAAGAAGACAAATGCATGAGAGATATGCCATTTTCATGGGTTAGAAAACCCAATATTTCTAAGGTATCATTTCTTCCTAAATAGATCCATAGATAAAACACAATCCAGCTCAAAATCTCAATAGGTCTTTATATTTATTATGTATGTATAACTGGTTAGCAAATGTAAAAATTTATATGGAAATACAAAGGACCAAGAATAACCATAAAAACTTTAGAACAACTAAGTTGAAAGATTGAGACTACTTCATATCAAACTTATTAAAACTACTGTAATCAGAACAGTATGGTATTAGTGTCAAGATAGGCAAGTAGATGAATGAAACTGAATAAAATGTCCAAAAATAGACCAATGAATACACGGACAAATGATTTTCTTGTTTTTTTAATTAAATAAATTTTTTTTCTTTATTTTTTAGGGAGGGAGAGTGTGTGAGTAGGGGAGAGGGGCAGAGGGGGAGAGAGAGAGAGAATAAGAATCTTAAGTAGGTACCATGCTCAGTGTGGAGCCCAACACGGAGCTCAATCCCATGACCCTGGGATCATGACCTAAGCTGAAATTGATGCTCAACCTACTGAGCCACCCAGGCGCCCCTGGGCACTAATTTTCAATAAAGATGTAAAGACAGATATAAAGATTTAAGTACAACTAATTTTTAATAAAGATGTAAGGACAGTTCAGCTTAGAAAGGATACTCTTTTCAATAAATGGCACTGGAGCAATTGGCTTCCAACTGCAAAAGAAAAACATTAGAACTCCACATCATATACAAAAATTAATTTTAAGTATACCTAAATGAAACCGAAAACTACACATTTTTGAAGAAGATACAGGAAAACATCCTGATGGCTGGTTTATGCAGAGATCTAACAAATAAAACCAAAAGCACTTCATCAAAATTTAAGACTTCTCTTCAGAAGACAATATTAAGAGAATGAAAAGAAAAGCAACAGACCAAGAGAAAATATTTACAAAATATATCTGACAGAGGATTTGTATTCAAAACGTATAAAGAATCCAGTATTCAAATATAAGAAAACAAACGACGTAAACTAAAAGTGGGCAAGAAATCTGACCAAACACACAATCAAAGATGGATAAGTAGCAAGTAAACGTAAATGGATGTTCAATATCATCAGTCATAGGGAAATACAAATTAAAACCATAATGAGATAATATATACCTATTAGAATGATGACACACTAAATGTTGGAGGAACAAAAGCTCTGACATCTCATATGCTGCTATTGGAATATCAAATAATACAACCATATTGGAAAACAATTTGGCAGTTTCTTAAAAATTAAACCTTCATCTACCATATAATCTAGCCATTACACTCATAGGTATTTACCCAAGGCAGATTGCAAGCATATTTTCATATAAAGATGTGTATACCAGGGGCTCCTGCTTGCCTCAGTTGGTAGAGCATTCAGCTCTTGATCTTGGAGTCATGAGTTTGGGTGTTGAGCTTACTTTTAAATACATACATACATACATACATACATACATAAAATCCTTTTTTTTAAAAAAAAGATATGTACGCAAATGTTTTGTAGCAGCTTTATTCATAATAGCCTAAAACTGGAAACAACTCGTATCTATCAATTAGGTGAATGGATAAACAATTATGGTATATCCATACAATGGCATACTACTCAACAATAAAAAGGAATAAACATTGATATATGGAACAGTATGGATGCATCTCAAAATAATTACACTGAGTGAAAGAAGCCAGACCAAAAGAGAGTACATACTCTATATGGTTTTGTTTACCTAAAACTCTGGAAAATGCAAACTACTATATAATGACAGAAAGGTCCATGATTGTCTAGTGGTAGGATGGGTGTGGTGAGAGGAAAAGTGTTACAGAACGGCGTGAGGAATCTCTTGGGGGGGGGGTGATACATATGTTCATTGTCTTGATCATGGTGATAGTTTCATAAGTGTTTACTTATATCAGAACATCAAATTAGATACTTTAAATGTGTATGCTTTAATATATATTAGTTTATTTCAGTAAAACTATTAATAATAAAATTAATCTCAAAAAATTAAGGTGTTTCTGAATGCATGAAGAGTTGGTAAAGCTAAAAAAAAAAAAACACGTAAATGGTTATCTTTGGCAAGGGGGGAAGGTTTATGGATCTGGAAGGGTTAGAGATGTCAAAGTTAATAGAAATGTTCTTTTTCTAAAGATGAGTGATAGGTATAGGCACACTTTATTATTCAGTTCCTTAACAGTTCAAATACATTTTATGTGTTCTTTCCTATATGATAAATCACACAATTTTTTAAACTAAAGAAAAAAAATTTTAAATACAAATGACTGTCTTCCCTCTGGATGCTTTCAGTCTTAAACTAACAATTGCAGATACCTGTTACTGATTAATAATATGTAAGTCAGAGGGAGTCTCAATTTTTTTTTCATTTAAAGGTTTTTAGAGAACATTTAAACCATCTTAAATATAATATCACCTTAAAAACCAGCAGAATCTCTTTATAACACTCATTGCAGATATTTAAATCCACAATATTTTCTCTTTCCTGTGTTTCTCATCCCTTTACTTTTAAAATATCAGGTACTTTCTTTTATATTAGAAAGCAGTTGATATAAATCTGCATTAAAATGGAGAAAAATATTCTTTAACCTTTATACTCTGGAGATTCAGATATACCAGTCTCTTGAGAATCTCTAGCATGTCTTTATTATTATTTTTTTTTTTAAAACACAGAACTAAATTTTTTTGTTAATGTTTATTTATTTTTGAGAGAGACAGAGACAGAATGTGAGTGGGTTAGGGGCAAAGAGAGAGGGAGACACAGAAGCAGAAGCAGGCTCCAGACTCTGAGCTGTCAGCACAGAGCCCAACACGGGGCTCGAACTCACGAGCTGTGAGATCATGACCTGAGCTGAAGTCAGACGCTTAACTGACTGAGCCACCCAGGTGCCCCTCTAGCATGTCTTTAAAAATTCACTTTAGGGGCACCTGGGTAGCTCATTTGCTTAAGCATCTGACTTCGGCTCATGTCACGATCTTGCAGTTCATGAGTTTGAGCCCCACATCAGGCTCACTGCTGTCAGTGTGGAACCTGCTTCAGATCCTGTCTCTCTTCCTCTCTGTCTCTGTCTCTGTCTCTGTCTCTTGTTGCCTGCCCCTCCCCCACTCACGCTCTCCCTCTGTCTCTCAAAAATAAACATTAAAATAAATAAATAAAAATTCACTTTAGATTATCCCAGTATTAATAGTGTAAGTAGTATAGAAAATACTTGTTGTTAATCTTGTCACTGTCTTCATGGTTCCTTCTACCAATTACGTGAACTCTGAGTAAAGAGTGACTTAACGAAATTTAAAGATGTATACATTGTAAAAATGAAATTGCACTCAGGTTTCTCCTATAAGGAAAACTCAGTGTATGTATACTTTGACGTCTATGATTATAATCTTGTTTATTTAGTAATTGAGATTTCTGTAAAAGAATTTGAATAACTGGCTACTCTGTTTTCATATTATAGGAGGATGAAGGATGTTTCTCTGGTTCTGATTTATAAAAATTCAGTTCATAAAATATCTTTGTTTTCATGGTAGAACTTTGGGATTCATAGTACTAATTTATTAGATCATATGCTAAATGTATGCAGTATTTTGCCCTATACCTGGCATGCTGTTTTTCTTTCTACAGCCTGCACCAGCATGGACTACTTTTAGAGTTGGCCTGTTTTGTGGAATATTCATTGTACTGAATATTACCCTTGTGCTTGCCGGTAAGTCATTTAAAATTTTAAGCTAAATTATTCTTACTAATATGCCCATGTTATATTCTGTCCTTCTGTCAAAGCTGGTATCAAACTAACAAAGCTGCTTCTGAAAGAGAAATCTGTCAGGGTTGTTTTTTGTTCTTATAAATGACTGGGGGAGATAGGGCAGTGTTTGGTCATTTGTTTAGTTTGCTTTTCCTCTCGGACATATTTCCTTTTACAACATTACTAGTTTATGACTTTTGTTCTCCATGTTTTCTAGTTTTTATGTACAATTTCTTTATACATTTTCAGAGTTCAGTTATCAAGAACCTCAACTCCCTTGTTCACAGATGAGAGTAAATAAAATTACAAAATTTGTGCACTAAAATTTATTTACTTTGCTTCTTGGAGTCTTTCTCACATCCTTTCCAGAACATATTTACAATTACTCCATATAATTTTAAGAAACTGTGTTGTATAATTTCCTATCTTCTAAGTTACGAATTAGAAAGAGGTAGAAGGGATTGCTGGAAGCAAGTGCACTCCCAACATCTAGAAATGATATAACAGCAAGGGAGGCGTTATCTTACTAAACCTCCCAACAGAAGTTGACATAGCCCTCAGCTGCATTTGACATTGTGAATCATCCCTTCTTGAAACTCTTCACTTGGTTTTGCTGGGAAACCACCTTCTGCAGCTTTTCTTGTTAAACTTTGCTGGAAGTTCTTTCCAGTCTCCTTTGCTAACTATTCTTTTCTTTGTGACATCTAAATGTTGGGCAGTACTGCTGGACTAAATCCTCAAATTCTCTCTCTGTCGACATTCATTTCCTAACCAGGCAATTTATTCAGGCTTATGGCCATAAATGTTACCTGTATGGCAGTGACTCTCAAGTACGTCTACTCTCTCCTCTGATATCTAATTGACTATTTGGATAGTAATAGGCATTTCATACTTACATGGACAAAAATATTTTTTACCCCCAAATACACTTTCTTTTCTATATATCATCATTTTTTTTTAATCAGATTCTCAGGCCAAAAACCTTTAGCCTCTCTTTTCTCTCATACCTTATCTCCAATCCACCAGCAAAGCCTGTTGCTCTATCTTTAACAGTGTGTGTGTAAAGTACAGTTGACACAGAGTGTCAGATGTTTCAAATGTACAACATAGTGATTCAACCAGTTTCCATTATGCTGTGCTTGCCACAGTGTAGCTATTATCTGTCACCATACAACACTTTTATAATACCTTTCATCCCTGTGACTTGTTCATTCTGTAACTAGAAGCCTGTACTTTCCACCCCCTTCACCCATTTTGAATCTGACCACTTCCACCAATGCCATCCTTGTATAAGCAGCCGTGTCCTGTTAGTGTACCGCACCAGCCTTCTGAACTGGCCTCACTGCTCTCGCTGCAGCCACTCTTGCCTCCTCATAGCCACCAGTATCTTTTCTTTTCTTTTTTTTTCTTTTTTTTAATGTAAGTTAGATCATATTGCTGTCCTCCTCAACATCTCTCTATGGCTTCTCTTACAATAAAGTTGAACCTTCTTTCCATAGACTAAAAGACCCTATAGGGTCTTGCCCCTATGGGCTTTCTGACTATACCCTGTCATCCTCCCCACACTTGGTCTCACCGTGTTTCCAAGTACATTTATGGTGTTCCTTGAATATCATCCCATCTATGAACCCTTGCAATTGCCTAAGAGGCTTTTTCCCTAAGATGTCTGTGTGGCTTACTTCTTCACTTCATTCATACAGTCTCTGTTCAAATGCCACTTCTTCACTGAGTCCTTCCTTAATCACCCTACCCTAAAATAGCCTGTTCTGTCTCCTCAGCCCACATTAGTTTTTTCAGGGCACTTTTAAGTACATGATATAATATTACATATTTATGTTTCTTTTATCTGTTTTCCCACTGGAATGTAAGTTCCTTGATACCTGGACTTTTGTCTCCTGTTCACCATTGTATCTCTAGCACCTAGAATACTGCCTGGGTCATAGAAGGAGCTCAGAAAATACTGGTGGAAGAGGAGACTGGATGGCTCAGTTGGTTAAGCATCCAGTTTGAGCTCAGGTCATGATCTCGCAGTTCGTGGGTTCCAGCCCCGCGTTGGGCTCTGTGCTGACAGCTCAGAGCCTGGAGTCTGCTTCAAATTCTGTGTCTCCCTCTCTCTGCCCCTCCCCTACTTGTCCTCTGTGTGTCTCTCTCTCTGTCTCAAAAATGAATAAACATTAAAAAAATAAACAAAATATTGGTGGAAATTGGAATGGATGAAAGAGGACAGAGATGGAATTAAATGATAAACCAAAAACACACAAACAGCAAAAAAGACACAAATCTCAAAGGTTCTTGCATTCAAGGACTTTTACTTTAAGGGCAAATAGTCATGGTATACCTCAAGAGTCTGTGTACTTATGCTTATAATGATAACTTGAATCATTAATAAAGGATTAAATTTTGCTCAGGAAAGTCTACAAAGAAACTTAGAAATAGATGGTATTGTGGAGTGCCTGGGTGGCTCAGTCAGTTAAGCATCCAACTCTTGATTTCGGCTTAGGTCTTGGTCTCGTGGTTCAGTTCGTGAGATCGAGCCCCGTGTCAGGCTCTGCACTGACAGCACAGAGCCTGCTGGCCATTCTCTCTCTCTCTCTCTCTCTCTCTCTCTCCCTCCCCCTCTCTCCCCCTCTCTCCCTCTTTCTCTATACCCCTCCTCCGCACACCGCACATGCTCTCGCTCTCAAAATAAATAAACGTAAAAAATACGATGGTTTTGTATAAATATCCATTATATTCTGTTTTCAATGTTTAGTAATCATAATAGTGCCTGAACATGAAAGTTTCTATCACTGTCACAGTTACTATTCTCAATTGCAGGGACTGTGTATTTTCATTTTTCGTATTTTAGGTTCCTAACACAGTACAACACATATAGCAGATGTTTAAGAAAAAATTTACCAAAGTTGTTTCTCCTCATTAACATTCTTAATTAAGATTGTCAATTACATATTATGAAATTATAACCCAAGCTGTAATGACTCTTAGAGAGCATATGAACTTGACCTATTGACAGTGTGTTTTCATTTGTGTTTTTAGAATTCTCCTTCCTACCAACTACTGAAAATTACATCTAATAATTATGGCTCACTGTAAGCTCATGATTTAATATTGGTATAATTTATTATCATATTTTAATCTAGTTCTGTTTCTTTAGGTGAGTGCAGTCTTCTTATATAGACTGCATGGGAGTATTGTAATAAAAAACCCAACCCTAGATTATCAAGCCAGTTGTTAAGGAAGGAACACTGACTTGTCTTCAAAAGGCCTAGCCTTGGGGCGCCTGGGTGGCGCAGTCGGTTAAGCGTCCGACTTCAGCCAGGTCACGATCTCGCGGTCCATGAGTTCGAGCCCCGCGTCAGGCTCTGGGCTGATGGCTCAGAGCCTGGAGCCTGTTTCCGATTCTGTGTCTCCCTCTCTCTCTGCCCCTCCCCCGTTCATGCTCTGTCTCTCTCTGTCCCAAAAATAAATAAACGTTGAAAAAAAAAAAAAAAAAAGGCCTAGCCTGTATCTCAGTCTCAACACTACTATTTGTTAATTGTTTTGGTTTAAGGATATCATTTAACTTCTTTTCATTTTTTTAAATGTTTATTCATTTTTTGAAAGAAAGTGAGACAGAGAGAACAGAGCATGAGTGGGAGAGGGGCAGAGAGAGAAGGAGACACAAAGTCTGAAGCAGGCTCGAGGCTCCGAGCTGTCAGCACAGAGCCCAATGAGGGGCTTAAACCCATGAACCATGAGATCATGACCTGAGCCGAAGTCAGAAGCTCAACTGACTGAACCACCCAGGCACCTCTCATTTAACTTCTTTTAAATAATTTCCTTATTTGTTCAGTGACTGTACTACCTTAAATTCACAGGGTTATTTTAGAATTCATTCATTCAACAGGTAAATTTTATGTACCTCATAATTAAGCTTGATGCAAGCCTTAAGAGATATAAGAAAATCCCTTTCCTTAGGAAGTTTTTTATGCCAGGGAGATTAAGACATATATTAAAACAATAATAATATACTCCAAGATGGAAAATGTTAAATGTTCTAAGCAGGTCAAAGGAACAAAGTAATTACTTTTAAATGAAAGCATCAGGGAAGACTTTATGAAGGAGATGGCATTTATGCTGGATGTGATGGAATGAAGGGCATTCCAAGAGGAGACAGATGAGTAGAGATTTAGTTCGTGGGGGAAGAGGGTGAGGCATAGGAGGAGGGACTGGGTTATGAAGAAGAGAAATGAGAAAATCACCTAGTGTGAAGGAGATAGCTTGAGACCACTTCATGGACATCAGCTAAGAAGTGTAAGTGACACATGTTTATATAGTTGTGAAGCACTACACCAATATAAATTATATGGAGTATATGATGGGAGTTGTTCTTTCTAAGAAAACCTCAGTCATTTATGTGTGAAATTTTTTCTTTTATTTCCAAGATGAGTGTGGTGATGTTGTCATCATCATCATCATAATTAAATAATAAGAAAAAATAACCTTCATTTTTTTCATGTGAGTTGAAAAGAAATTTTTTTTTAATTCAGGGACAAACTCAGGTTTTGTTTTCTTTTGTAAATATAGACTGTTTTATGAGACAGCCTCATTTGTTTTTTAATGTGTGTGGTTTCTGCATTATGTTCTCTCACCTCACAACTCTTCTTTGTTTGATCTTTGTGTGTGTGGTCGGTGGGGGGGAGGCAGGGTAAGTGCACAGCCAGCTGTCTATGCTTATTTATGTCCCAGCGGGTACTTGAAAGATAACACAGAGAGAGAAGCACAGCAGTAGTAATGCATGTACAAGCACGATTCTTTTTTCATTCACATCAAAAAATAATGTGTGTAATTGCTGTAGTTTCTCCAAGGGATTTGATCTGATACTTAATAATTTGTCTGAAATTCACATATTTCAGATAACTTAGTTTTGAGAAGATGAGAAGTTACCTGATTAGATTTTTAAAAAATTGTTCTCTTACAGATTTCTAGTAACTGTTATTTAATTTGATACAATAACAATATATCATATTTCATTTTTTGGTTTGACAGAGATAGGAATTTGACCATTTAAATGTGTTTAAATGTCACGATGTGTTTATAGAAGGGTGTGAAATAGCCACTCATACACTAATAGTAAGAGTATTAATTCAGTGTCTTTGGAGGATAATTTGGCAGTATATGTAAATTTTTAAATACAGTCACTTTGGTTAAGCAATTTTATTTCGAGAAATTTATCTTACAAACATACTTGAACAGGATGCCAAGGACATATATGAAAGGAGGGTATTCCTTGCCATTTTGTTTGTAGTAACAGTGTCCTAGAAACCACTCAAATGTACATCAGTTGGGAATTATTTAATAAGCTAAATGATGTTATTTACCTCTGTGCAATGAAATACTGTGAAGCTATTCAAGTGAATGAGTGAAAATGGGTATAGTATTTTGGAGTGCTAGATGTGTAGTTAATGTGTACTGTACTGCTGAAAGCATGCATATACATGGATTTGCTTGGGTACCTGGTTTCATTTCTTTTGGATATATACCTAGGAGTGGAATCACTTAGTTATGTTGTAATTCTATGTTTAATCTTCTGAGGTACCACCAAATTGTTTTGCATAGAGGCTGCATAATTTTTCATTTTCACCAGAAATTTATGAGGGTTCCATTTTCTTTACGCCCTTATCAGTGTTTATGGTTTTCCTTTTTATTTATTTATTTTTTTACTTATAGCCATCCTAGGGGCGCGTGGGTGGCCCAAGTCGGTTGGGCGTCTGACTTCTGTTCAGGTCATGATCTCACGGTTTGGGAGTTGGAGCCCCGCATCGGGCTCTGTGCTGACAGCTCAGAGTCTGGAGCCCACTTTGGATTCTGTGTCTCCCTCTTTCTCTGCCCCTCCCCTGCTCACGCTCTGTCTCTCTTTCTCTGTCTCTCAAAAATAGATGTTAAAAAAAGTTAAAAAATTTTAGCCATCCCAGTGGGTGTGAAGTAGTATCTTGTTAATATTTTGATTTGCATTTCCCTAATGATTTTGAGCATCTTTTCATGTGCTGGTTGGATATTTGTATATTTCTTTGGAAAAATGTCTCCCCAAGTCCTTTGCTCATTTTTTGAGTTGTCTTCTTATTTTAAGTTACAAGAGTTCTTTATATATTCTGGGTACTCAATCCTTACCAAGATACGTGATTTGCAAATCTTATCTCCCATTGTATAGGCTGTCTTTCACCTTCTTCATAATGTCCTTTGATGCAAAAAAGTTTTGATAAAGCCTGATTTTTCTATTTTTTTTCTTTCTTTGAACTAACTTTTGTACATGGTGTGAGATAGGGGTTCAGCTTCATTCTTTTGCATGTGGACATTCAGTCATCCCAGCACCATTTGTTAAAGAAAATATTCTTTTCCATTGAATGATTTTGGCACTCTTGTTGAAAACTAGTTGGCCATACGTATATAGATTTATATATGAACTCCCAATTCTGTCTGTATGTCTGTTTTTATGCCAGTACCACACTGCTTTTTAGTAAATTTTTAAACCACAAAATGTGAGTCCTCCAACTTTGCTCTTCTTTTTTCAGTGTTGTTATAGCTATCTGGGGCCTGTTGCAATCCCATGTGAATTTGAGGAATGACTTTTCTATTTATATATGCAAAAAAACCAAAAAACAAAAAACTAGAATTTTGATAGGGATTGTATTTAATCTCCAAAACACTTTGGCATTGCCATTTTAACAACATCAAGTCTTGTCCATGTACATGAGATTCCTTTTAGCACTGTCTGTAGTTTTTATTGTACAAGTGTTTCACCTCTTGAGTAAATTAATTCCTAGGTTTTTTATTCTTTTGGGTGCTATTGTAATTGGAATTGTTTTCTTAATTTCATTTCAGGGTGTTCATTGCTGATGTATACAAAGACAACTAAATTTTGTGTGTTGATCTTACAGTGTGCGACTTGGCTGAATTTATTAGCTCTCGTAGTTTTATTGTGCATTCTTTGAGACTTAGGATTATTATTTTTGTTTCCTGGCTGTTGTATCTATGGTTTTTGCTTAAGAATCAGGATCTAAATCCATATAGAGTTTTTTATTTATAATCTGCTGACTAACCTTGCTATCATGCTTGATCCTTTGTAGTCCCTTTATGTAAGAGCTGGAGTAGCCCTTTAATATTATTAATTGGTCTTGTCACTTATGTATAAAACCTTTCATTGGCTTCATATATTAAAGTAAAAGTTTAAGTCTTGACAAGATACTATAAAGGTCCTACCTGATCTTCTCTTGGCTAACTCTTTATGACTTTACCTCTCATTTATTTCAATTATAGTGGCCTTGGCCTTCTTCCTGTTCTTGGAGCACCGGGCTCATACCTATCTTAGGGCCTTTTGTACTTACTATTTGGAGCCTTATTCTTCCATATACTCACATGATTCATTCTCTGTTTCCTTAAGATCTCTGCAAATGTCATCTCCTGAGAGGTCCTCTTCACCACCCTACCTAAAATAGCACCTAATAACATCATTCTTCATCCGCTTACCCTACTTTTTTTTTCTTCAAAACCTTTATGACAGTATGACATTATACAGAATAGAAGTTTCCTGAAGACATATATTTTGTCTGTTGTTTATTACTGAATCTCCAGTTCTTTGAGTGGTGTTAGGTATAAAAGGCATCTAATAAATTTTTGTGAAACTAATGAACAAAATGAGGTTTCCTCAAGCAAAAGGAAAAAGAAACTGATATATACTGAATACTTGTTATTGTTTTAGGCATGTAATATATGTTGATCACATTTAATCTTATTTACAAACTTATGAGAATAGATATTATCCCCATTTTCCAGCAAGGAAATGCAGACTTGGAAAAATAAAATAATTGCCTTAGAATAGCTAGAATTTTAAGTCTGGTCTTTAGTATTTGACTCCAAAGCAAAGGTTTTCACTACGCTGTTATTTTTAAATTATTAAATGCTATGTACTGTAGGAATACAAAGATAACTAATAAATGGTTATTTAAATTAAGTATAAGCCAGTATATAACTACATTTCAAGTGAGTCTAATAAATTTTATAGTTATATGGAAAATTGAGAAATCATTAGCCAAACTGAAATGTTTGGCACAGACTAGGCTCAAAACGAAACACTGATTCAATAAATGTATGAATAGATAAGGATTTGGCTCTGAAATATTAAGTAAAATTTGAATTGGTACAAAGAGCAAGACCATTTTAGGTACAGGGGACAATATAAGCAAGTGTGAAAAAGCAAACTTGTGAAAAGACTAATAAAATTTATCAGGAGATAAGAATTAATGTTTAGGAGCCCTGTGAGATAAGTTTGGGAAAGTGAGTTGGAGATCCGACTGATAGAGAACTTGAATTCCAAGACCGTGTTTGAATTTACAGTAACTGGAAGGCTATAGGGTAATAGTGATACTACACATTTGTATGGGCATATGGACAACAGAATGTAGTGGTTAAGAGTGTGCGCTTTGGAGCAAAACTCTCTGAGTTAAAACTCTGGCTCTGCCCTCTACTAGCTTGGTAATCCTAAACAAATTACTTAACTTCTCTGTGCTCTAATTTCCTTACCAGTCAAATGGAGATAATAGTTTTTAACTCACAGAACCATTGTGAGGATTATATGAATTTTTATGTATAAAAATTAAAAATAAATTTAAAAATAAAAAAGGGGGCGGCTGGGTGCCTCAGTCACTTAAGCATCCAGCTCTTGATTTTGTCTTGGGTCGTGATCTTATGGTCATGAGATCAAGCTCCACATCTGGCTCTGTACTGAGTGTGGAGCCTGCTTAAGATTCTCTCTCTTCTTCTCCCTCTACCCCTCCTTTTTTTGCTCTCTCAAACAAACAAGTAAAATGAATTATTATATGTCAAAATATAATAGAAAACAGTCCTTAGCACATAGTAAGCATTCTGTAAATATTAACTGTTATCATTTATATGACATTTCAGTTTTCACTTGCTTTTATTTTCAGTCGCTTTCATGTATCACATTTCTTTTAATCTTCACGGTAACTCTGCGAGGTAGGTAATACTATAACCAGTTTAATCACTGAACAAAGCCAAGGAAGTTATGTCATCCCATATGTGATTCTCTGTATTTCTGTGATTCTCTGTATTTCTAAGAAACTAATGGAACAATGGACTAACATGCCCAAAGTGAAGTTTTAGGGAAATCATTCTGGTGAAATTTTGCAGAATGAAATGATGAAGGGAAAGAACCTGGAAACAAGTTTATTATCTTGAGATAATCTAAGCTTAGGCTTTATTTATAAAAACTTTTTATGCCAAGGACTGTGTCATCAAGAATTATGAGGAAAGACAGTTAAATGAGACATTATGAATTTTCTGACTAACTAATTGATATTTTTTCAGCTGTATTTAAACTTGAAACAGATAGAAATATATGGCCCTTGATAAGAATCTATCGGGGTGGCTTTCTTCTGATTGAATTCCTTTTTCTACTGGGCATCAACACATATGGTTGGAGACAGGCTGGAGTGAATCATGTGCTCATCTTTGAACTGAATCCAAGAAGCAATTTGTCTCATCAACATCTTTTTGAGGTAATCAAAGCAAGACATAAAGTCCCACAAATATAGTTCACGTTAGCTATACCGCTGGTTTAGTGGGTGCTGAAATCCATCTTTTACTTGAGGAAGATTATTGACTTAACATCTAAACATTTATCTTACCTTTGTTTTATTGAAGATACTTCTGAGTAATGGAAAAAATAAAAATAACAATTTTTCTCTTTTCTTTTCTTTCCCATCCTTTATCAGATTGCTGGATTCCTCGGGATATTGTGGTGCCTAAGCCTTCTGGCATGCTTCTTTGCTCCACTTAGTGTCATCCCCACATATGTGTATCCACTTGTCCTTTATGGATTTATGTTTTTCTTTCTTATCAACCCCACCAAAACTTTCTATTACAAATCCCGGTTTTGGCTGCTTAAACTGCTGGTAAGTCCAGAAATTTGTCTCCCATTTTTAGAGTGGTGTATTGGTCATTGGCTTTGTCCAGGAGGAACCAAGGCTGCTGTTGCACAACTCCAGAAGGCATGGTTCACTTTGTAATCTATGTGAGTGGTGCTCTAGCTCCAAGGGTAAAGAATATAGTGTAATTGGTACACCTCATGTTGTATAGTGCAGTGGCCCTGGGAGAAATAACTTATTCATGCAGTTTTTTTCCTCCTAAAAGGGAGTATGAAGTGTCCAGATATTGAAATTATTTTGCAAATTAATAATAAATAATTCGTGATCTATTTAAGTGCCTTATTATTTAGTACAGATTACTTAGCCAGCTGTGATAACATGTAGAACTCTGTGAATTTCTTTTTTTTCCTTTTTAAAAAGTGCTAAAACTATTATTTTCCTGTCAAATTGATAGAAATAGTCAACCAAACATTTTTATTTTTATGAAAGATTCATTCTCTAAAATCAGTAAGCATATTTTACCAGATTACCAGGTTTTAATTTGAGAAGCTGACTTTGATTCTTGTTTATAATACATTCCATTTCTTCTTCCACTTTACCTATTTTTTAATCTCAAAATCTCTCAATTTAAACATTAGGATATAGAATCTCTTGCAAAAATAGTTGCTGTATTTTTTGTAATGGTGTAAAGATAGCTTGGGGAAGGGACTTCTCTTAACTCCTGAAGTAAACCAGCTCTGTTTTGAAAATTAATTGGTAATGTTCTCCTGTAATTATTTCTTAGGTTATGAATTACAACTAACAGTAAAGTGAAGATTAGTGATTAAATTGACCAATCTCTACACATACTTTCAGAATTCCTATAATAATTGCCTTACTCTGTTTCCTACCTTAGAAAAGTATACTACCTTGAAAACTAGAGTATTCTTTTTCCTTTTGCATATCCCTTACGGTTAGCAGAACTTTTTTCTTTGTTGTTGCTGTTCTTAGCAGTACATTCCCTATATATAGCATTATTTAAATTTTTTGAATCTGAAGGTATAAAATATGCTCTTCCTATTAAAAAAACATAGTAAGTAAGCACACAACAAGTAAAAAGCCACTTATATTCCAGTACAGGTAAGTATTTATAGCAATCAGGAAAAGAAAATGGCCTAGATCTCCTTCATGTTTTTTCCCCAAAGTTGATTGTTATTTATTTGTATTTCTTATTTATTCTGGTAGGATTTTTACCACAAATTGAGAATATCCCTATTCTCCTCTAATTTCATTAAATACTAATAAGTAAGAGAGCAAATCATTCCTGTTATGTATAGCACCACTAGGCCAAACTGTAGGTCTAAGTGTAGAACTTAGATGTACAAGAGTATTTTGAAAAGTCTTAAGTATGTAATCACCTTTAACACATTTTATCATCTAGAACACATGATTTTTAAAGGATTTTTTGTAAGACAGAAGAAATATTTGGACCATTTTTTTCTCTCCTGAAATTCATACTAAAAATAAATCATTTCCCGTTAGTACAACAAAATTAGATTACCTTTTTTATCTTGAGATTATTTGTCATTTTATTGCTAGATTTTGTGGAATTTTAAAACTTATTTACACAAAAATGTAGTATTCTTCTGGTTACAAGGAAATAATGTTAAGATTATAAATACCTATTATTTCCTGCCTCAATTATTGTCAAATCTCTATAAAGTTATTTTGAAATGAGGTTTCAAAGACTCAGATGTTAATACGATTGCATCATTGCAATAACGGAATGATATCGTTGTGTGTTAAGTGAACATTTCCCCAGTACATCCTTCTCTGTTTAAATAGTTAGCTATGATTGATGCATGACCAGTTACTCTTATTAGCAAAATGATTCCCCATTGAGTAGACATTTATTAATGCATTTGCTGTATGTTAATAAATGAGGATTTATGGATGGAATAGGTTGGCAATGATGATGTAATAAGGAATAAAAATAATAAGTGTGCTATCAGAATCAGTGAAATGCAGAAAGAAGCATTGTGGTTTGTTATATTTATAATAATAATTGTATATAGGAAAATCTTACACATATAAAGCATTTTAACATTAAGTGACCTGTTGACTTATTTTAATTCAAATCTTACTGAAAAAATTTACCGAGACTTATTTCTAGTGTTAAAAATATTTTGTTTCTCTGATACAGCTTTTTTAATAGCCTCGTCATTAAGTAAAAGTACATTTCCTTCTTCAATTTTTAAAAAATGGAAAAGAACGTATCATTTGGCCATAGTGGTACGCACTGGATGCTGTTTATATCCATATTTAAATTTGAATCTATGGAATTTATATGCTATACACCTCCTTCAAAAAAGCTAAAAAAGTTTTTATTAGAAATTTATTTAGGGGTGCCTGGATGGCTCAGTCAGTTAAGCGTCTGACTCTTGATTTCACAGTGTGTGGCTTCAACTTTGGGCTCTACACTGTCAGAGTGGAACCTGCTTGGGATTCTTTCTCTTCTTTCCCTTCTCACTGTCCCTCTCAAAATAAATAAACTTAAAAAAATTTTTTTAAAGAAATTTATTTATTTTGATACTTAAATGTCAAATTAGGTACAGTTTATTTGTATTATTAGGTCATAAATCTCTGTAGATCTATATTTGCCCTAATTGGAAGTCCAATTGGGAAACATAAGCAATGCCTCAGATTTTCTAAACAAAAATACCAATCAATTCTTCTAGAAGACTACTTAAAGTTTTCAAATTAAAGTCCTTTCCTATATAATTGGGGAATTGATTTTTTCAATATTTTCTTTGGTTTTATAGTAAAATTTTTACATATGTCTCTACTATGATTACAGAGAGATAGTCTCTTTTAATAATGCACTGTTCTGGACATTTTATATGTGTTCATTTATTTCATCCTTTTAATAACCATGAGGTTGGAGCTGCTATTAATCCACATTGTATAAATGAGGAAACCCAAGTTCAGAGGAGTGAAATACACAGCCAGTAAGTAATGGAGAGGAAATGTGAGCCCAGGCAGTCTGATTCCATAATCTGTACTCCTGACCACTACCATTTAACAGTTAAACCTGGTAGTCACTTTATTTAAGATACTTAACTTTGATCTAGTAGTTCAAACTAATAAATATATTTTATATAAAAATTGAAAGAGTGTGATTATTCACAAGCCTCTAAAAGCAGAAATTAAACTTCATCTTCTTTAATATTTATCGGCATTAACTTAGAAAATGATGTTAGTTAATATCCTTTCTAATAACTTATTAATGGCTTTTTTGTGTAAGTGAGTAAAACATCAGATATTTTGAATTGTCTGTAGCTTTCTTAATACTGTTACTCAGTGAGTCATTGTCATTTTAAGCAAAATCACAACAATGTAGAAGTTGAAAGACCTTAGCCACAATAAGAAAAGAAAGAATTCTCACTCAAGAAGGGGAATTCAGATAAATTTAAGATGAATTTGACTATGTGTAAACATCAGGGAATTCAGTATGAACTCAGCCCTACCCTGTCTCTGATGCAGCTGCTCCCTCTCTCCCTTCTTTGTATTTCTAGGGTATTTTGCCTGTTTATCTGTAATAGCACTTACTACACAGTGCTGTCGCTATTTCCTTAGGTATATATTTGCTCAACCAGACTGTGGGTCTTTGACAGAAGAAACTGTTTTATTTATCTCTGTACTTCCACAGTGCCTGACATGTGTTAAATGCTGAATGACTATAATTATATTCCTTCCTTTATTAGTTGTATTATACCAACATTTACTACTCCCTCCTCTTCCTTTTTCCATCTGCTCTCTTCTATAAATTTCCCCTTCCTTCCAGTTTCTATTTTCATGCCACTCCCTTTCGTAGTCCCATTTCCCTCCTTTCTTATTTAATGCATTCTCTTCCTCCTCTGCTCATATGGAGGTTTACTCTCTTAGCTAGCTTTTGAGGCTGAATTTGGCAGATTATGAGAGTAATGGTAGTCTGTCTCATGTCCATGAGAAATAAGAAAATTGCCCTCGGCTATAATTTTCACAAAAGTCCACGACTAGAGATTGAGTTAGACTTCCTGATCCTTTAGGTGTTATGTTCTGAACTCTTGTTTGTCTCTTTGAATTTTTAAAGTCCACTCTGCACCCCACAGTTTCTTAAAATACTCTATAAACTGGCATCAGAACCTTTTCATGAATAAATGACTAACATCTCAACCACTAAGCCCCCAGTTCTCACTCCGCCCCCACCCCCTACCAAAAAGAGTTTGCTGTATCTAGACCTTATGGTTGCAAACGATATAGCTCGTCTCTCAGGCTTATTGCAAACTTCTTGAAAGAGCAAGAGACTGATCACAAAACTGAGCCATGGCCTCAAAATATATCCGCTCTAGAAAATATCACAAAGCCTGTACTAGGTCCTGCAGATACCTGATCTAACGTCCAAAGCCCCAAGGCAATACCTGTCATAGATACTTGATATCTAGGACAGATTCATAATGTAGCCATTTATCTCCCTCAAATAATAAAGAGAAGTGTTTAGAGGTAGAATAGAAAGAACCAGCCAAGTCTGAGGGGAGAGAGCCATTAGTTTTCATGCTGAATATGTCTGCTAAATGAATATAGCTAGATGGCAGGAGAGCTATAGATTTAGACTCATTTTCTCAAAACTGCTGCTTAGTCAAAATTCCTTGTTTTAGGAGTTCATTTTTAGCTTTTAAGATAGAAAGGGTCTGACAGGGCGAGGATTAAAGCTGCCTTAATTCCATCTTCAATTTTCTCAGGGCATCTCAAGGCATTCTGCACTATTGGAGCCTGTTTCTGATGATTACGTTAGTATCTATCCATCCTCTCTCTGCAATGCCAGGAGATTTCCCTTTGCAGTGGTAAACAGTCTTCCACAGAATAGGTCAGGATGAGTTTGTTGTAGGTCCTCTGTAAAATGGGGATATGAATAGTGCCAAGCTCATAGAATTGTTGTAGTTAGTGGACTATGAAAAAAGCATTTTGAGAAAAATATGCAGCATGGATTAGTGCTCAGTACATTTAATCTGAATTCATTTAACATTATTTTTATAATAGTGGGGTGTGAGCTTATTTTTGTGGCATCATTTCAAGACAAATGCAATTATTACCATGGCATTAGTGAAATTGACTTCAGTGAGAGAACGGGCAGGCATGCTTCAGCTGTTGCACATCCTTCCCTCCCTATCCCTTGTAGGCAAAGAAGAGCTTTCTATTCAGGTAGCAAAGCTCTCATCCCAGTTAAGAAGGAGGATATTCCAGAAATTTTTATAGAGCATGCGTCTCTAGCACAATTTACCCTAGAGCCCTAACACTACACATCCTCTCAGTGCTTCTCCCTTCTGCTACTCTCTGCTTTCAGCTTCAACTCTTTCCACCCTCTCTGCTTTCTGTTTTCTAACTGTAGCTATTCCTGTCTTCACCCCACTTAAATTTCCTTTCTTAGTTATCTATTCAGCTCATTCCGTTCACTACTAATTCTCAACCTAGCCACTGTTGCCAGGTCCCTGTGTTTGTGATTGGCTCATTGGTTTCCATTTTATCAGCTAAAGTAACCATGCTGCATGGTCAGACAAGAATTAGAGAAATTTAATATGAACTTTCTTGTTTCTGTGTTTTTTTATTTTTTTCTTTCTCCCAGTTTCGAGTATTTACAGCCCCCTTCCATAAAGTAGGCTTTGCTGATTTCTGGCTGGCCGATCAGCTGAACAGCCTGTCAGTGATATTGATGGACCTGGAATATATGATCTGCTTCTACAGTTTTGAGCTCAGATGGGATGAAAGTGGGGGCCTGTTGCCAAATAATTCAGAAGGTAGGGTATGAATGTGCATCCATACCTCTGAACTGCCAGTGTAAACCAAGAAATATTGGGAATGATAACTAAGAAATGTAAGATCGCGGTGAAAACTCATCCAATAATACAAACTTAATTAAATGTACTTGGCACTCTTTTAGCAATCTCTTTATCTGATACAATTTGGCTCTTAAATTAAATGTTAGGATTTCAGTCATCCATTTGCCAAGAGATTTGCAACTTACACTTAAGGAATTCTAAAACTTAGAAAAAAAAGAAAAGTAAAAATTTCTAGTATATTGGTAGTTATATCACAGATGCTTTAGTGCCAACAGTTTCCATCACAGTATTGCTTTATAATGATCAAAAATACTTGAGTATTTAGACTTAGATCAAGGGCTTTGAGAAAGTCATTGTAGATCGTTTTTAATTCTTACTGAGGATCTTGGGGTGTTTTTTTCTGGTTCTTTTTCCCACTCTTGGTGTATGCCAGGAGTTCGAGTTATTAAGGAATTTTGCCTTAATGACAAAGACCAAATTTAGACAGATTATGTAACATCTGACTAGCAAAAAGCTAATGAAGCCAGTGGCAACACATATTCATTGATTGCTAGCAGACCACAACTTTGTTGTAGGTTGATCCCACTATAATGCATTCCCAGAATTTGAAGAAAAATGTATTTACCAACTTCATTCTTCTCATTTAAAAATATAAACTCTGCTCTTCATTAAAAAGTAGGCTAATGAGGTACATTTTCTACCTATTGTGATATAGCAGTTTGGAGTTCATGAAATTAACTAGAGTCACTAGTGGCATTTGTATGTTTTCCAAGTATTTCAAATTACAGAGTAAGTTTTCTTTCCTTTGATTACTGTACTCATCTTCTAATTTTCTTACAGTTTTACCACATTCCAAAGAAAACGATTCCAGAACAGGTTGTGAGAAATCTGGGAGGGCAGATTTTCCCCCATTGGTCCACCCTATATATTTACCTTCCTTTTTTGGCTTTCATCGCTCATGAAAAGTTTGAGAATATAGTAGTTACAAAGAAGAAAGTGATTCAGAAACCAGGCTTCTTGCTTTTATGGACTTGAGAGTGGTTACAATATATAACAAAATGATGTGAACAAGTTACTTGTCTTTTGTTTTTTTTTTTTAATAATAATTCTTCTTCTTTGAAATCTGCACAGAACCAGAAATTTGCCACAAATATTCGTATGGTGTGCGGGCCATCGTTCAGTGCATTCCTGCTTGGCTTCGCTTCATCCAGTGCCTGCGCCGCTACCGAGACACAAAAAGGGCCTTTCCTCATTTAGTTAATGCTGGGAAATACTCAACAACTTTCTTCACGGTGACGTTCGCAGCCCTTTACAGCACTCACAAAGGTATTCTACGATTGACTGTGAAGAGATTTTTCAAAACCTGGGTTTTTACTACTGACATCTGCTTCTTACTCTGATTCCTTTTCCATTTATCATGCTCTTTTTTCCCACTGAAGTTCCAGTCCCCTCAGCTATACCATTTTGTTCTCGAACACAATTTGAGTCTCATTCCAGCATTTAATAACAAGTACCGTCAAAAAGTCATCCAGAATAGGAAGGATTTTGTGATATGTGAAACCCTGAATTATGTTCAGTGTGTTCTATCTTAGACACCTTGGGCTTTCCTTTGTTGTTGGTTTTTTGTTTTGTTCTGTTTTGTTTTTGGTTTTTTTGCCTTCTTGTTCATTAATGAGGTTGGAAAATGCTAGGTGAAAAAGATTCCCTCTGGCAATCATGTATATTTTTAATCGCTTTCCTTCACCAAGTAGTAAGGATTGTTTCCAGCCCATTTAACTGCAAATTGAGTTCTCTGATCTCTCTAGTTTCTTATCTCCATAGCAACCAGTTATTACTTGAGACTGCTCTTCTGTTGAGAGGAGAAAAAAGCTTTTAGGTTCTGAGCCACATGCAGTCAGTCCTTTTGAATTTTTAACCTTTTTCCAAGAACTGTCAATCAAAGATCTTGCTTCCTTTTACTAAAATGCATTCCATCTTTGTCTTTTTAAATCAGTATCAGCCCACACCTTAGAGGCTGGGTGGTAAAGAAATGTTACTTATTGAAATTATTGTAATTATTTTTAAATACTTAAGTAAATTTTTTTCAGTGACTTTTTTCTTAATTGAGACACTGTATTTTAGGAGCCTGAGCTAGTACCTCTTAGCCACTTATCTAAAGAGTATGTCTGATGGTCTTGAAAGGTTGGAGCAGTGGTTTTTTTGTGAGGCTTGCAGTTTGGTCCAGTAGAACACTTTATAACATACTTCCACTTTTAGCAGTAGATTCTGCAATTACAGTAATATTGATAATGCAGCCAATAATTTTATCACTATGTAGGCACTCTTGTTAAATGATATAATTTAACTAAGTGCCTCAGTGAAGGAAACACATCCTCAAAGCTCCCGTAATTTTAACTCTTGTTGAGGAATGCGTTCTTTAGTCTGGGCATGCATCATGATTCACAAGGTTGTGATTAGAGAATTTATAAGTCAGGCAACGGATTTGATACATGGTACCCTATGCCTTAAGAACCTTTTACTTTTCTCCCATCCTGGATAACAGTGGTTTAGGGTTGAATATTTTAGGACATAACATATCTTTAACTATACTGGTACTCTTCAGTATGAAGCTGAAAATCTGAATTCCTCAAACCTGCACTGGCTTCACATTTAATAACCTAAAGCTAGAAGCAGTGGTTTGGATGGTATTGTGGTCGTCAGACTTTTTCTTTTTCTTTTTCTTTTTTTTTTGGCTCATGTATCCCTTTAAAGAATTTTTAAAACTATGTTATTATCATTTTTATTTTATTATTTTAAACTATTATTTAAACTGTATTTTCTGACATTTTAAAATTTACATCTGAAATTTTTCATCTTAAGGTTAAATAATTTTTAAAAATGTAGTTTACAGTGTATTTATAATTTTTTTTAATGTTTATTTATTTTGAGAGAGAGAGATAGAGCATGAGTGGGGAGGGACAGAGAGAGAAGGAAACACAGAATATGAAGAAGCCTCCAGCCTCGCCTCTAAGCTGTCAGCACAGAGTCGGGTGCAGGGCTTGAACTCATGAACTGCGAGATCATGACCTGAGCCTAAGGTCATTCAACCCACTGAGCCACCCAGGTGCCCCCCCCCCCCCCACCCCACCCCCCCCGCTTATTTTTTTTTTTTACAGTGTATTTTAAATATTCACATTTTAAAACAAAACTGCTAAAATGTTTCTACTAAATGTGTCCAAGTAATCTAAATACAAAAGCATGATACTCACCATGATTTGTATTTTTATGTTTTAATGACTTTTGTCTGATACATATATATGTAAATTGAAATTAAGTTATTACCTATTACTAGAAGATGCTAAGAGATTTTTCTGTGTTGTAATTATAACTGGCCAAAGTAATGTTACAGATATGTTATAAATTTTAATAATTATCACATAGACATTTCTTATTGAGATAAATCTATATTACATATTCTGTTCCATTTTGCAGTTTTTGTATAGGGAAGCTCTGAGAAACCTTGTTAAATAGCTGTATACATGAGGGTAGAAGTTTAATTGTTGGAGCATCGCTAAGTTTTCTAGACAGATCCTCAGTTATATACCAAAAAATAAGCACAGTAGTCCATCATCAGTAATTATTTTTGTTAATCTATCAGGTTTTCTTATTGAAAGCAAAAAGTTAAAAATAAACTGAAGGAAGTAAAATATTAAACATAAACTAAATGAAAAAAGGATTTGTTAACCGTTAGAATTATTCTCTTTCTTTGTTTATGGACAGTCAGTATCTTATGACATTGTTTAAATGGTGTTGTTTTTTAATCTTGGTAGTGCAGATTACACTCATCCAGTTTATAGAGATTATCTGCCATATCCCCTAATTGGAAAACCAGTCACCCAAATTAGAAAAAGTTTTGACTTAAATTAACATGTTTATAGACACCCCTGTGTAAACATATCAATTCGAATTCTGAGTTGGGTAGGTAGATGAATGGGTAGCTGGGTGCATAGGTAGGCAGATAGAATAAACACGCATTCAGTAAACATTAGTGAGAATATTCTATGTATCAGTTGTGCTAGGCACTAAAAATGGAGCAACAAACAAAGTAACATTCTAGCCCTTAAAAATTTATGATCTAGTAGGGGAAGTAGGTAAAAAGGCATTAATTGGTTGCACAACAGTGTGAATATGCTTAAAACTTTTGAACGGTATGCTTAGAAGTGGTTAAGATGGTAAATTTTGTGCTATGTGTTTTGACCACAATAGGAAAAAAAGACATTAAAATACGCAGGGGACCATAATAGCCTACAGACAGCATAAGTCCCAATCCGGCCGGCCCCCAGTAGAGACTTCCCAGAGGTAATAGTTAAGCTATTTTATTGTTTATGTGAAGGAGAATTCCAGTTATCCCATTATGTGTTTTGCCCAAGGCTGTGTAATTGGTGAGTGGTGGAAGTGTTGCTGTTTCCCACTTCTGTTCTTCTTTCGCCTAGGGCTTCCTCTTGTCCCCTCAGGCAGAACCACACCTTTTAAGTGGAGATAATAGTATCTATACTGTTTACTTCACAAATTTGTTGTAATGATTAAATAAGGTGTAGTGTACATGGAATCACCTTATAAACTCTAACGTGCTACACAAATGAAATTTATCATTAAATGAAATACAATTCTCTTTGCTGTCTAGAGCTGGCATATGTGTGTCTTTCTTTATGGAAAATCTTTCTAAGAGAAACCCTTGTGATCCCTTTGGTAGGGGTGTTATAATGGACAAGTACCAATTAGGAATGTGTTTGGCTTCTTGTTCATGTAACACAGATGTTCACTCACTGAACTTGATTCAAGTCCCACAGTCAAATTTTTAAAAACCAAGCATTTTTTTTAGAGAGACCATTGGTTATATATCTTATCATAGCCATAAAATTAAAAAAAAAAAAAAACCTTTGTATTATTGATACATATTAAATATTTATATCACTAAT